GTCTGTGAAGTTTCAGCTCAAAATACTCCACAGATCATTTATTATATCATTTTGAAAATGCCTATTTTGAGTGGAAGCAGAAACACGCTGTTTTTCGTGCCTGTCTCTTTAAATGCAAATGAGCCGCTGCTCCCCGCCCCCTTTTCCAGAATAGAGCTGCAGCCATTACATTTCGGACCTGCTAAAAACATCTGTTTTGGTTCTGCTTATCATGTTTATCGCTCTGAAATCATGCGTTTTAAACCATATTAGTTTAAACTTCTGATATACGGTTTTCTGAGCACACACATCCGAAGCACACGCACAGAAAGCGGCTGTCACAGCATGTGAGTACTAAACTAAGTTCTCATTCACACACAAGTTTACGTTAAAAACAATTCATTAAACTCAATATTACATTCTACCATGCTGATATCTGGCACTCTTAGTGTGATATAGATCATCTATATTAAATGATATAAATATAAAAGGCATACAGAGGCATTTTCCTCTTATCTTGAATTTTATGGCCATTCTAAATGAATTTTAATAGATAAATCACACAGTGCATGTGCACTCTCTGGTGTGTTTCTGTTTGTTTTTTGTGATATACTCGATAATGTCAGATCGCACATCGTTAAAACAACACTTACTTTATTAGCGCAGATGATATAGGCTATGTATTTCGGACACCCCAGCCTCGACTTGAGTGGAAAATGAAATCAACCATGGTTGTGCGAGCACTTGTTTGCACACGCGCGAATGAGCAGGGTTCAACGTTAATTTGCAAGCGCCAGAACACTGATTCGTCAAACCTGCTTTCTTGCAGTCTGTGTTCTCCCGACTTTATTTTGTAGTAAGTAACGAATATGCTTCGGGGAAATGTATCGGAGTAAAAGTACACATTTTGATTAGGAAATATAGTGGAGTAAAAGTGAAAGTTGACAGAAATATAAAACCTTAAATAAAGTACAGATTCTCCCCAAAAAAATATTTTACTATTATTACTTCCTTACATTACACCACTGATTCTACTACACTTCAAAAAATAAATCAAGGGCATAATAGGACCCCTTTAAAATAATACAAATAAAAATATCAATTAGCTAAAAAATTATGGTTCCACTGTCAGTGCCAGCAGGTTGTCGTAGGGAAAAATCACTAGGCAAATGTTATTTTGAATGTTCTTCAAACACACCTTCCATTGTTTGCTGTGTGGTCACTTTCACTTTCATGTTCATAACTCTGCTTAAGCCAGGCATGCAACTATGTTTCTCATCTTGAACCAAACAGCTGAATGCAGAAGTTTGCAAATGCCCCCTTTGTCTCCTAATTGTATAAACCCCACACAGAATTTAAACAAATATAAAAGATAGATGAAATGCCCTTTAGAAAACACTGTGTCTTGTGAAGTGTATGCAAATATGTTGTCAGTATCATCTTTATCTAACACTCCTGATTCATTAAACATTGCAACAGACATTTATCATGCGTTTTAGCACTTTAATTATTGCAATTTATTAACAAATTTAATAATGCCTTAATATTTATATATTGCACTTGGTTGTAATACACATGTATATTAAATTAAAGTATGGTAATTTATATTGCAGCCTATTTATTCACAGTGTATATCATTTTAATGTTACAACATTGTGTTCAGCTTCACAAACCTTACCATGCACAGACTTATTTTGACAATCTGCTGGATACGAATATGATTATATAACACCAAGGTAACACTTCCTGTTTCTCTTTCCCCGTCGAACAGTGAGCTCTAGCACAAGTCCTGGTTACCTGAACAGGTGTTTTTAAGGGTGGGGCGGGTAGACATCTTCCATTCCCAATGTTTTGCTAGCTAGCTAATTCTTGCGCATGCAGCATATGTATTATGTATTGTGGCTTTCGGTGCTAGAACTAGTTGTTGTAATGCTCAGTCCGAGTATTCGTTGTGACTTATTAGTGGCAGGAGGGGAAAACACGCGACGTTCTATTGTAGCGCACGGTCTCTGCGCGCGCTTTGGTCCAGCGCTCGCGGCGCATCTAGTGAAATCTACTACCTTTCAAGGGTTTTTGGAGCGAAGCATTGACTAAATAGAGACGCAACGTCTTGCCTGGATCAAACAAAATTATATTGTTTGTCCTTATCGCAACGGCTTCAATTTAACCCGTTGAAATAGGCGAATCTCGAGAGCGACAGGCGTAAGAACGAAGTTATTAAAACATTAAATATTTCTCCCATTTGAACATTTCAAGGGGTCAACAAGAACAACAACAATAATAAAAAAAAACATTTTTTAAAAATCGTCATTTAATACGACAACAGAATTGTCATTTCGGCTAAATATTTCTAGTCATTTATGTGAATTGTTCACCTTTTCTTTTAAAAACGAGCAAGCACTGTATTAAATAGCAGTTTTATGACCTACTTTGTGGCACCTACGAAGTGACGCCCATGGTTACCTGTGCTGAAAAGAGCAGCTTCACATCAAGATGAAGACCGAGCAAGGTAATACGTTCACACACAAATCACGCATATAATAAGGAACTATGAATTTGACGCATTGTTTTGTACATCACTGTTATTTGACATGAAATGTTATCTTTTTTTCTTCTTTTTTTCCAGAGTAATAGGGGGAGCGCGGGGCACAAAGTAACGCGGGATAAGTTGTAACACACGTGGTTTAAATATTTCCACACATGCTATCTTAACCAAAGTTACAGCATTTACTAGTTACTATATCAACATTATATGGAGAAAACAAGTGCACCAAAATTCAAAAGTCTTTTGAAGATATCGCTGAACATTTATTTTACCATAGTAAAATTATATTTCTGGCTTAAGTAAACTTTTTCATCTCAGTTTTTATTACTCATTTAAAATGAGACAAATCTGCTATTATTTTAATCTCCAGTCTGTTATTTATCAGTTTAGATTATGTTTTAATGCTTAGCTAACTATCAGAACACAGTAACCAGTTTTAAATTCCAGTTGCGCAGATGGGGTATGTTGTAACACTGCGTTACAATGTATTCCGGCTGCCGAAAACGAGTTCACCGCTCAGGTTTCACTTTCACGTGGCGTGGCGCTCTGCGTGTTATCCTGCTCTATGCGTGTGCGCTCTGCTCATATAGCCTACGTTCATGCTCATCGGAACAGCAAAGTCCACTCAAAAATCGAGCCGACAGGAAACATCGATTTTATTGACAAAATATTTTAATTTGTCTTGTATATTTTTTTCATGCGATCAGATAGCATTTTAAGCTGTCATATATGGTCAAGTTACAACGCGCCCCTCAGCTGTTACAATGTACCCCACCTACGGGGCATGTTGTCACATTTCACTTCCAATATTTGAGGGTAAATAAAGAAAAACGTATACACTGTAATTATGAAACAAAGCGATATATTTGTACTAGACAAGTGTGGATTATAAAATTATACTCTGAACCCCATGTGGATTTACACAATTTGAGAAAGTAAAAAAGTGTTACTTTGTGCCCCGCTCTCCCCTACATTCATGCTCATCGGAACAGCAAAGTCCACTCAAAAATCGAGCCGACAGGAAACATCGATGTAGTACAGTATCTGTTTGCTACAGCCCTTGCTGTATCATGATGTGGTATATGGGCAACTCTGGTAACGCTGGTAATGCTGCCTCTCATTCATTGATCTGCTAACCGCTGTGATATGCTCACGTGTTCTGATAATAATAGATTTCTAGGACTAAACATTATTTGGATAATTGGTAAAAAAAAAAAAACTAAATCTCTTAATAGCCCTATACTGTTAGACCTACCTGAAAAACTAAAAAGCAATTTATTTAATTTGTAGGCCTATGGTTATTTTTTATTTATCATTAGTAATTTATTTATTTGTTATTATTTTATAACTTGTCATTTTTTATTCAATTCAAAGTTTGAAATCAAGCTATCTCGTGCTACTACAACAAAATTACCCCACTGTAAAATCAAAAAATATACTGAGTGAGCAAAAATTTGTGAGATAGCAAGTTATAATGGTACATATGAATAAAAGCCTACATTAAAATCTGTCATAAAAACTGGTCTCTTCATTAGAAATTAGCCTACTGATTGCCATCATTGATGGACACATTTTTGTAATAATATTAAAAATATCTGTATGCTAGTATATTCTGCAGTTCTTCCCTGCTGTACCAAGTATCTATACTTTTCAAAGTATCATTAAAGAAGTTAGAAATTCAAGTATTGTGACAAAATTAATTTTGCAGGGTGCCACAAATTTGTTAAAATTTCCAAAGGGTGCCGCGACTAACAAAAAGGTTGGGAAACACTGGTCTAAACAAAGGTTATAGTTGTAACTAACACCGAATTATTATTATTTATTATTATTATTATTTTTAGTTTAATACTCTTTTGGCATTTCATGATAATTAAATGAATGTATTGCAGAGAACTTTACCTACATGTTCAGTTTTTATCTGTTATTTTTTCTCTATGCAGAAATACTGCAAAATGCACTGCGACATGAGAAGAGGAGTGATTAACTGACCAAAAAAAAAAGGAAAAGGAAAATGGCATCAGCACAAAACGGTCAGTAAATTCATGTAAAATAGAAAATGTAGAATACAGACACAATTTAGATGTCAAATTCATAGTTCATTTAGAATCAGTGTTCACAATTTGTTTGCAATTTGTTTTGGAAAATCATCCTTGGATTTTTTATTTTTTTTTTCTGTGGCAAATCAACTTGTCAAATAATAATAAAAATAATAAATAAATAAATAAATACAACTATAAAGGAATATTTCAAGGTCAGGACAAGTTAAGCTTGATCGATAGCATTTGTGGCGTATTGTTGTACCACAAAAATGTCCACTTGTCCCTCCTTTTTTAAAACACATAAACAATAGAACTGAATAGGGAACATTTAATGTATAGCCACAAGATGTAAACAATATGTGCATCAACATGGTTTTGGTGTAAAAAATAAATTGCTTGTAAAGTTATATCATATTTTATAACTCTGCCATGACAATACAACACTATGAACATTGATAAAACTGTATACATGATGTTTAAACAGATTTACAGCTTAAGCAGTATGCAAAATAACTATTTGTGTTTAAAAAATAAAAATAAAAATCTTCTTTTAAAATCTCAAATGGGCGTTTTTCACCTTAGCCTTGTTACAACAGTGAATTTCACTAACTTAACTGTAGGTGGCTGCTCTAAAGTCACAATTGCTTTAACCGCTTTACAACTTGTAAACAGTTGGAATGCTACATTTGTGTAGATTGGTCACAGTTTACAGTGTTAAATCTGAATGCTGAAAACTTTTGAATACCCAGAATTCATTACTCACCCAGGACAAAGTTTGACAAAACAAAATGAAATGTGGAGCTAGATAATTCATGGTTTGGACTGAATAAATAAATAAATATATACAGGCATACTGTTACATAAATACTACAATCAGTCACAAGAGAAGCATTAGCTAATAAGAGAGCTAATGTCTGTTTCACAGAGTCTGATGAAGAACGTGATTCACAGGAGCTGAGGATTGTGCTGCTGGGAGCCTCTGGAGCTGGAAAGAGTCCAACAGCAAATGCAATACTGGGTCGAGAGTCATTTAAAGAGAGCAGAACCAGAGAGAGTGAGAAACAGAAAGGAAGAGTAGAAGACAGAAACATCTCCATCATCGACACGCCAGGATTCTTCAACACTCAACTGACTGATGAAGAGATGAAGAATGAAATGATGAAGAGTATGTACCTCTGTTATCCCGGTCCTCACGTGTTCCTGCTCGTCATCATCAACCTGGAGACCTTCAGAGAGGAGCAGAGGAACCTCGTGGAGCAAATTCAGGAGAACTTTGGAGAGGAAGCGTTGCTGTTCACAATGGTGTTGTTTATTGGGCGAGAAAAAGTATCCAGAAGAGAATTTAATAAAATCATTGCAAGTGAAGAAACGCAGAAAATACTGAACTATTTTGAGGGAAGATTTCATGTGATAAACAGCAAAAGTGAATGTGATTCCAGTCAGATCATAAAGCTCCTGAAGAATATTGATGAAATAGTGAAGAATAATGGAGGACAAAACTACAGCAATGAGATCTACCTGAAGAATCAGAGAAAACTCAGAGAGCAGAAAGAGAGAATTAAACAAGAAGAAAAGAGACTGAAACAAGAAGAAGAGATAATGAAACACGAGCAGGTGAGGAAAAGACACACGGAGATGAAGAAAATACAGGAAGATAGCGATACATGGAAGCAGAAAGGAGGGATAAATCAAAAGGGGGACATAACAATGAGAAGCAAAGAGGAGGGAATAAAAGATGACAATGAGAGGAAAAAAGATAATGTGAGTAAGAAGAAAACCCGATATCTGAGAGAAAACGAAGCTGCTGTTCATGAAAATCTCAGGAGACAGATGGAAAGTCGGAGAGAGAAAGAAAGATGGAGATGGAAACTAGAAAGAGGAATGACACAAGAAAATCCATCAAGACCAGGTAACTATTTAACCAGTTGTGGTAAATTTTTTAACATTTTCATGTTCCAAAAAGGCAAAGGGGACATTTACTCAGTATTTGAAAGCCTTAATTTTTAAGTTAAATAAATAAAGGTTTCAAAATCTGTGCGCTGATACCCAGAGATTCCCCTTCAGGAACTCGAGCTGCGTCGAAATGCACGGAGGTCTCTAGAGCAGATAGTACGGCCATCCCCTGCCGGTTCGCCGCTTCAGGGCTTGCCGCTCTAAGTGCACCAGAGGTCAGTCTCGAGAGACTGATTCCCTTATTAGACTAAAGTGGGTCCTGCACACTGTAGAGTGAGGCTATAGAATCCAGTTCTCCTCCGCCTCAGTTTAAACAGGGTCATCCCCACTATGATCAGTGTTGCCAATTTAGCGACTTTGTCGCTAGATTTAGTGACTTCCCCGCCCCTTTTGATACTTTTTTCAAAAGTTTAGGGACAAATATAGCAACTGCTTGGACAAACCTTATCTAAGTTCTCATCTTGCCCACTGATCTACGTTCATCTTTATATAGATCAGTGAATTTGCCATTGTGATGTCATCTAGTGACATTTAGCTACCAGTTTTAGCTACTTTCAATTGAAAGCAGTTGGCAACACTGACTATGGTGGGTCCCGAGCAGGCTCTGGTCATGGAATAGAAGTAGTTACTCTTTTGAGGAAGGAGGCCATCGAGGTGGTCCCTCCTCACGTAGCAGACTCCGGGTTCTACAGTCGGTACTTCACCGTTCCGAGGAAGGATGGAGGGTGGCATCCTATTTTAGATCTGCATCATTTGAACTGCTCAGTCAGGCGACTGAAGTTCAGCACGCTCGCACTCAAACAAGTCG